AAACATTAAAAAAACTAGATAAGGCTTGTAGCCCCGTCTACTCATTGTCGTCGTCGCCGGTGAGGTCGACGTATGGAGGTGGCTGCCAGAGGTGGGATGACGGCCCCTGCCAGACCGGAGGGATTTGCTGTGCAGGCTGCGGTGGCGCCTGCACGACCTCTTCACGCGATGGGGATGGTGACCACTGGTCGACGTCCACCTCGGGCGTGCACGGAGGAGCTACGGGTTGTATCGCTGCTCTTATTGTAGTATCCTGAACGCGGAGACCGGCTGGGGCGCCTGCTGCTCCGGCTGCGCCTCCAGCATGACGACATTGTAGTGTGCCTCCGCCTGCTGTTGGGTGAACCTGACAACCGGCGTTTGTGCTTGCTCCTCATCCTTTGCATCCTTCATGTCCACCTTGTCCAAGCTCTCCTCCTCTCGAGAGCATGGAGGCTTTGACGCCGTAATGCGCGTCCGGTATGCCATGCGTCCACCAGGTTTGCGACTTCGTGGCGGCACCGCGATGAAAGGGTCTTCCACTGGTCTCGGCCATTGGTCTAGACTCTAGAGGTCGAACGGAAGAGCTAGTGTGTCGACATAGGTCGAACGGAGGAAGATGGGGCTCGGAGGTGCTACAGGGTTGTGCTGTGACCGACACTTGCCAATAGCGGGTGCCCGAGCAGGTGGAGCATTGCCTTGAATGCGGTAGGAAGCCGTCCCAACGTCTCGTGCGGCCACGTCCAGTCTAATCTTGGGCATTAACACGACACGAAGAGCGAGCGCATACGACCCGATCGGTGGGCCGAAGCTTGCGTCTCGACCGTCGCACTAGTGTGAACGACGTGCCGTTCGGTTGGCATGCGCTACGGACTGGTCACGTCCGCTTCGGACCGACAATTATCAAGATCAAATGAATACTTTTTTTTGAGGGATAATCAAATGAATACTTATATATGGTATATATGGTAAAAAGGAGAGAAAAATTTGTTAGGATAATCCTGACTTGGAGTTAATCTGGAGTCAGTTGGTTAGCCGGGTTGTGTGGATCAAGTTGCTGTGTTGCTTGGCCGGTGCGTTGCATGTGACGTGGGTGCGTGTGCATGGCGTGGTTAGTTGGTGCGTGCTGCATGCATGGAGTTAGTGCCCGGGTGTACCGGCTGGGTAGTGTGTGTGCACATGGCTATAAAAGCCCCCTGATGTACTGTTTGCAGTGCGCCGGTATGAGCCGAACCTAGGAGCCAGAGAAGAGGTAGTCTCCGCCGGGACTGTGGTATGCACCCAGTCGGTTGTGAGAGAGCTCCTCTGGGTAGGCTGCGGTGTGTTGCCGCGCCCGGGTATGTGCCTAGTAAAGTGAGGCCGTTCATGTGGCCGAGACGCCGTTCGTGCGGCCGGAGGCGTTTGTGCGCCGGAAAAATTGTGTGCTCCATCTTCCATCTTCGTTTGTGCGAGTGAGAGAAAGAGAGCTGGTTCGAGGTTGGGCAACAACAAATTTCTTATTGTTCAATGTAAAATCGAATCATGTCCAATGGTCAATGGAATTTTATCTATCCTTTTATTTTCTTTCACCCCCTACAGAATTGGTGCGCGTCGCCCGTCTCTTCCCAGCGCCGCGCCGCGGCGGCCGTCACTGGCATCACCGCGTCCGCTGCCCGACCACTACCTCTCGGGCCTCCTCGACCCGCTCCTCTTCCCCCTTCATCCCGTCCACGACCCTCCTCGCCCTC